CCTCCGAACCCATCGCCCCATCACCCCCCCAGCCCTCTTCACCCCATCAGCCCCATCAGCCCCCATCACCCCATCATTGCCCCCATCTTCTTACCCCCCTCTCTCCCCTGCACTCCCTAATGAACCCTGGCCCCCAGCCCCCTCCTACGGCCCCCCAAAGACACTTCCAGTCTCAGGCCTTGCGGCAAGGGGAGCCGCCTTGGTTATCCTGACAATCCTAATTAACGAGCAAGCAGATAATTAGGAATTTAATTATGAGCGCCGAGCTCTCCGGAAGGAGCTGGCGCCACAGCAAGCGCCGGAGCCGGGCGCGGGCAGGCGGCACCGGCAGCAGCTCAGCCACTTTGGGGCTGCTGGAGCTGCTTCCATGGGGAGCATGGGGACGGATGCGCCCTGGGGACTGGAGAGCACCTCCGGAACCTCCTTCCCTCCGCTGCAGCCTGACCCCTGCTGCCCTCAGTATGTTCCAGAGTGAACACTCCTCCCTAGCTCAGCGCAGCAGCAAGGCCTGGGGAACTGCAGCACAGCTACTAAAAGAAAGCAGTCTGGGGAAAACAAACAAACAAACAATGAGGTGGGCACAGTCATGGCCATCTTTTTTACTCCCCATCTCCAATTTTTAACGTGCCGGTGCCGTTGGGAGCTGCCTCCCTTTCCCCAGCCGCAGGGGGAAGCTGAGACTGCTGCAGCTCATCACACTGCTCCCCGTGCCGGCCCTTAGGCAGCGCCCGGAGCGCCAGGGGACCCGCGGGAGGCACAGGGTGCTCTTTGGCGGCGCTGGCGTTTATTTTTAAAGCCGTTGGCCCTGCGTGATTCACGCGCTGCATGTTCCCGTATTATCCCCAGCGAGTTTTACATGACAAACACTGGTTAAAAATAGATGTTCTTGAAAGAAGCAAACATGTCGCGAGGACGGGAGCCGCCGGCACTCCGCGCGCTCGTGCAACTGGCTCTGTGGGATCCACGGAAGCGGGAAGCTCCGGCCCCGTGCGAACCCGACGGCGAGGAGGGCATTTTGCTGCAGAGCCCGTGGGCAGCGAAGCTCCATGCGGGGCCACGGCGCTCCGGGACACACTCAGGAGCAGGAGCCGTCCAGGTTAGCGCGGGGGGGACCGAGGAAGGCACTTTTTACACCTGATCATAAATATCACCTGGTAATTGCCTCCCCACGGCTTTCGGGAAACAATCTGGGTTAGTAATTAAATCCCCAGCAGGGACCTGGTGTCGCTGTGGGTAAACACGCAATAAATTAGCCCCTACTTAAAGGTCAACTGGAAGGAAATTCGCTTTGGTCGGCGCTGTGCGGAGCTCCCGGAGGGCCGAAACCCCCCTCCGAACCCCAAGCTTCTCCAGAGCTTCCCCTGGAAAGCCTTGTCAGGGCATCCTGCTGCAAGAAGGTAAAGAAACCCACGATCTGCCATTTTACCAACATTTTTAATTCAAAATTACCAACAGTAAACATTTCCAGCCCTAACAGAGTTAGCGGTACCCTCTTGATCTCACTTAACACACACAACCACCCCGGCGCACAGCATCTCTCCCTGACAAATCCCCGTGCCGGAGCCACCGCGACTGTCGGATAACAGGAACCCCCTGAGGACAGGGCACAGCATGAGGACGGGCACGTTGGACAAGTGACCAACTGCTGGCGGCGCCGAGCGGGGACTCCGTAACAGCCCTGCATCCTGCTTCCCTGCGGCCGGCTGCTCCTCCGTGGCATCTGGAACGGGGATGATCCAAGAGCAAAAAAAAATCCCTGTGGAGCCTGGCGAGCCCCAAAGGAGCATGAAAAGGCACCTTTTCTCTTTGGGGTCATTTCTTTAGATTAAAAAAAAATAGAAAAGGAGCAATGAATGCTTGATCACATTAAAAAATGCTCATTGTGACAGGACAAGAGCAAACGTAGGGAAGTCCCTTTAACGTGACAGCAGCTTTGGAGGGAAGGAGCGAGGGGGAGAGCGGTCATTCCTCCGGGGCGCGCAGGGGGCGAGAGCGGCAGGGCTCTCTGTTCAAATCCCATTGAATTCGTGCTCACAGTAGCCCACGAAGAGCGGCTCAGCCTGGACCCCACGCCTGGAACACAGCAAAGAAGGAGATGCTACAGCACGGACGCAAGCACAGTCCCGGGTCAGGCTCTGGGCAGTCAGAGGAGCACAGGCCATCAGCACCCAAATGCAGGTGCATTGAGCTCCCGAAGACGTCACACTGCAGCCTCAGCCTGCGTTTTTTGCTCACGTGGGAAGCAAAGCATAAGGGCAGCTCCTGACGGAGGCAGGATGGGGCCTGCTCGCTGCTTGCGGGAGCAGCAGGCCCCCTCGCCCAGCCGCGCGTAAGCATCCTGCAGGTCCCTCACCGTCGCGTTGCTCCAAAGGCGCTCGGCGACAGCCCCGGCTCTCGGCCTCGAGAAAGGAGGGAAAGACACGCTCGGCTCAAAGGGGGAGTTGGAGAGACCTCCGAGCTCCCCACGCGCTGGTGTAACACCCGGAGCTGCTTCTGCAGGTGCAGATAAAACTCAGGGCAGAGGGACTCCGTTATCCACATGGATACGGTAACGGCACCACCACATCCTGATGCCTGCACTTGCTGTGGGCAGGAGCACGAACAGAGCCAGCCTGAGCGCAGACCCAGATCAAAATCCACAGGGCCAGAGAGCGTAGTTCACATTTAGAGGGTAGGTCAGCCCTAGACAGAAGCAGGAGGGAAGAGACCCCCCACTTCAGTTAACAGGCCTGGAGAAATGCAGGTGCTCAGTTCATGACTCGGGTCCTCCACATGGCTGCTTTGCATGGAAAGATCCACGCACAGATCCACGCGGATAAGGATGTGACCAGCTCACAGACAGAGGCCAGGACTAAACACAAACCGGTTGCAGCAGCAGGTTCTGCAGGGGCCTGTGTCAGTCTCACAGCCACAAGCCCTAGTTTAAGCCTCAGTGAAGCGCCTACCACCACAATGTAAGGGGACAGAGTCCAGTACCATTACGTGACCAAATCACCTCAGTTTGGTGTAACTCAGTGGTGAAGGAACCAGGTCTAAGCCCTGCCCACCCGACCCCAGCCAACCTCCTCAGGACCCCTCTTACCAGAGCCTGGGGGTCAGGTTAGTGACATCCACGTATTCACCCCACATACAGGCCTCTCCGCCGATCACCCGCTCCTTCTGCTCTGGGCTGCCTGCCAAGGGAGACACCGTCCCGAGGACAAGGTATTGCAAGAGACGTGTGATTAGCTCGGCTATGGAGACCATAGCAGCGACAGAGTCACTCAGGCACCCTCAGCACCTTCACATCAGCAGTGAAAGCAGACTAGCACCAGTCCCGGCACCACTTCTGGGAGACAAGTCGGGTGTCATGAGGGAAGCTGGCACAAGGAACGCACCTTTGAATTGCAGGGGCTCCACGTGGTAGGCGTCGATCCAGTCCTGCCCGTAGGAGATGCGGTTGAGGTACCAGGGGGCCGAGAGCAGCGCCTGGTACCCGGCCTTGGTGACCTGCTCCATCTCCTGCACATACGGAGGGGACTTCTCCTTCCACACGTGGATGATCGTGTCGGGCCTCAGCTGGCCTCACAGCACAAAGATGCAGAATCAGTGCAGCCACCAAGAGCACCAACTCCCCTCACAAGCGGAGCGTTCCCAAGCCACCCACCCCTCCAAAACACCCTCCTCTGCCCGGAGTCCTGCCCCACAAACAGCCCCAAAGGGTCACAGCAATGGTGGGAGCTGCAGCGATCCTGGTCTGGAAGGAGCAGGACCAACCCCGCTGCCCTTAGGGCCGTGCTCGCAGGAGGGACAGGAGCACCCGCCTACGCCACAGCCAGGACAAAGCTACGGAGCAGCGGCCAGACGGGGAGGTTTCAGCAGTGGGATAGCGCATGGCTCAAAGCGACACCAACACCAACTGGCTGAGAGAGACCAGGGCAGACCCAGGGGACAACTGCAGCCACTCTCAGGAAGGGAGAAGCCACTTGCAGAGCATTTCATGGTTAAAAGCTGCCCCTTGCAGTTACACACCCCAGCGGCTGGAGGGCCTGGTGACAGCAGTGGACAAAGCCACCGCGAGGGCCCTCGGCAGCTCCATGTTAAGGACAGCCCCAATTCCCCACCAGGTACCTCCCGCCAGCACCATCACAGCACCCCCAGGGCACACCGGGGCCCGGCTGCGGCACTGGCACCGCTCGTCCAAGCCCAGGGAATCCCTCTGAGCTAACGCAGGCAGCTCTCACCTTCGCTCCGTTGTCAAACACCTCCTGCCACACCATGTAACCCTTGCCATAGGAAGAGACGATGTCCAGAAGCCTGCAGTGGAAACAGCGCTGCATTTGGGACAGTCCCAGCCGCAGCTCCCTCCTTTAGCCGGCTGCAAACAGCCAAAGCATAACCCCTCGTTTTTATTGAGCACCCAAGGCAAGACTTGGAAGTATTTCCGAAAGAGGGTAGGGGAGAAAGTCTGGCCCTTCACAGAGCTTCCTTCAGGCCCAGATCTCCCATCCAAACGTGGCCAGGCCCCGTGGGGCGAGGGAGCCATGCCCCAAGGTGCGCGTTCCTGCAAGCGGACGCAGGGTCCCTGCAACAGCAGGAGACATTTGTGCTGGCCACACACTGCAGCGACAGGTCCTGGGCCCAGCCGTCCTTACCGCTGGATGTAGAACGACTCCAGTTTTCTGAAATCCTCACCAAATCCCATCTCCTGCATGAAGGCACGGATTTTTGGATTCGACTTCCTGCGTACAAGAGAGAAGGGAATGAAAGCTCTGCATCCTAGAACTCTGCAGTAAGGCCGGACATGGCCAAGGCTTTCCCTGCTCTCTCTTCCAAGCGAAGGAGGAGATCAAAGATGTGCAGAGAGGCACGGCCAAGGATTGATGGTGTGGTTTGCACGGGCCCCATCTGAAATTTCTAGCCCTCTGGCTCCCTCTTAACGTAAAGAAACTTCCCCTCTCACTCTGCCTCCCGTTTCAGAGGTTGCTCTTGCCAGCACTTGTCATCCACCCCAAGCACATACCTGGAGCCTAAGCAACAAAGAGATCCTGTTCCAGATCCTAGTCCCAGGCACGTGGGACCCTTGGCCCTGCACTTTCTCCAGGCTCTGTCCTCAGCAACTCGGGCCTGCCCCTCACTCACCAGCACGTGAAGTCCACCTCGTCACCGCCGAGGTGAAGGAAGAAGTCCGGGAACACAGTGCTGACCTCTTGGAAGAAGCGCGTCACAAACTCATAGGTGCTGTTAAGGATGGGGTTGACGGGCCCATAGGTCCCAGAAAGATTCTTGCCCAGATAGCAGGGAGTCAGGAGGCCTGGAGCACCTGGCTCAGAATAAACCCAGTGCAGCGAGGGAAGGGTTGAACAGCCCCCTCTCCCTGCCAGCCATCCATGCCCTCCCGGGCAAGGCCCTGAGCCCACACGTGGGATGTAGCTGTCCACAGCTTTCGGGATCCAGGCGCAGAGACTCGTCCTCCCCCGGGCAGGGCTGCAGCTCTCCCAATGCCGGTACCTCCGAACAGCCCCTTCTGCTCCTCACCTGGCCCCCATGAAAGCGTGTGCCCAGGGGTGTCAAACTCGGCGACGACCCTGATGCCGCGGAGCCGGGCGTACTCGATCACGGCCTGCACGTCGTTGGCCGTGTACACGTGCGTGACGGCATGGAAGGCTCCCTGCGGGAAGGGAGACGTCCCGCTGCTTCGCCCCCTCGGCACAGTGCGGCCTGGCGCTTGCCGCGCACGCAGGGAGCGGCACCCGTGAGCGCGGGGAAGGTCGCGCTCTCGTACGGGAACGACGGGTCGTCCACAATGTGCCAGTGAAACACGTTGAACTTGTTGTAAGCCATGACGTCCTAGGGAGCAAGAGGAACACAGGTGAACGCGCCCTGGCCTGTCTGAAAGGGCAGCCAGCCCAGGCAGACAGGGCCATAGGGACCCAGGTCCTTGCACTCCAAGGGGAGCAGTCTAATGAAGAGTGTCCCCAGGTGCTCCTGGAGTCAATTCAGACACCTCTGTCAAGCACGAGAGCGCTGCAGAGAGCTGCAGAAGGCCAGTCATGCTCCTGCCAGCGCTAAAACTCCTGTTCCTCCACATACGTAAGCCAGTGCTGGAGGCCTGGATGTTGAATCCTGCTTGAGATGAAGGCACAACCACCACCCACTCCTGTCTAATGGGACCGTGAAGCAGCTAGAGCCTCCTTTGCCTCGGAAAAGGTCTGGTTTCAGAAAGCCAACCGGGCAGCAGGGATCTAAGGCATCTCCCGTTTTTCTTCCTTCCCCTACATAGGGAGGGAAGTGAAAAACCACCCACCTGAGGGAGCTGCCAGTTACACAGGGCACAAACAGAGCCACGGGCACAGAGCACTGCACATGGAAGAGCCTGCAGCACGGAAGCATTTTTCCACGATGTGGCTCAACGAAGCAGAGCGGAGGCCCTGCTGCCACCCCACCCCATGCGGGTGCTCCCACTAGGCGCACACGGGCTGGTGTCCTTCAAACCCCCAGGGCTGCTCTGCAGACAGAGCGCCGTGGGGTAGCTGCCCCGTGCCCGGCTCCACGGCGTGGCTCTCACTAGATGGCTCCTGTGGCCTTTGGAAAGGACCAAGCACAAAAGGGAAGGCCTGCCAGCCAGCCGGGGAGCTCCTGCCCACCTTAGGCAGGGACAGCTGGCTCTGTCCCCAGGCAGGCAGGCTGGCCCCACGTGCCGCAGCGCAGGCGCCCTACCAGCGTTTGCAGGATGGCTTTCAGGGGCAGGTAGTGCCGCGAGGTGTCCAGCAAGAGGCCTCGGTGGGGAAAGCGGGGGAAGTCCACGATCTCCGTCTCGTTGACATAGTACTGCACACAGAGCATCAGGAAGAAGTCAGGAGGGCTCCAAGTGACACGGCCATCCTCGGGGCAGCAGCAGGGTCCTCCTCGCCCCCAGAGCCAGCAGCACTGGGGGGGGTACCCTCACTGCCCAGCTCACAACACCACTGCTGAAGCAGCCAGAAAGGGCCACTGCACTTGATCCGAGAGCCACCACCTGGCTGCACTCTTGTCACAAGACACCGTGTGGCCCTTGATGTGACAGGGCTGCGCGGCCCTGCTGGACCCCCCATCCCTAGGTGCCCTGGGCCTCCCCCCCGCAGGACAGGGTGCTGGGGAGAGCTGCCTCCCCGTCCTCGAACCCTCGGGCCCCTGGGCTCCCCCCGCTCACACGGCCAGCCAGGAGGGAGGCACAAGAGCCGCCCCTCGGTGCCGTGGGGCAGGGCAGCGGGAATGCCCGCGGACACCTCACCTCTGAGCGCTCCCCAGACGGCATCCGCAGAGAGCAGCAGGGCGTCCACGGAGATGGACAGCTCATCTGAAACACAGCACGGACGCGCGTGGGGGCCCCGCTCCACCGCACGCTGGGACGCAGCTGCGGCCTGGGGCAGAACTGCTCCCTGGCATCCCAGAAAGCTGGCGCTTCCTCACTGATTTTGCCTCTCCCACTGCCTTGCCAGCATCCTCAGCATTCCCTCCTGGCTCGCACAGTGAGGATACTCAACACGCGAGGTGCTTACGGCACCGCTTCAACTAACGGGCACAGAGACCCGCGCTCCCGCTCCCAGGCCCGGTACTCACAGCTCTCCTTGGAGTCCAGGCTGGGAAACCCATCGCAGCCTGGGGTGGCCACAGAGACCAGGAGCTGGGCACAGGGCTTCTCCTGGGGCTGCTCGCTCCCTGCAACACATAGACCACAGCCGTCAACCCAGCACACGGAGCTTAGGTGACCATGGACCCTGCCATCGCAGCCGAGGGCCACGCACAGCCCTCAAAGACCCGTCACTCCCAGGAACAGCTCAACATGGTCACCCAAACCCCCAGATCCTCGCTTTGAGTGAGCCTGGTCCCAAGTCAGACACCCAGGGGCCTTCAGAGAGACCCTGGCACAGCCAGCGCCGGGCTGAGACACAGGGAACACATGCTCTGAAGCTCCTAGGAGCCAGGAAGCACAGACATTGCCACGGAGGAATGGGAAAAGCTCTGTGGAAAGAAGGTGGCAGGGAAACCTCACTGTGAAGTTGTCTGCTCGTGTGCAGGCGAGCTCGCGGCGGCGTGGGCTGCCACGCACTCCCCGCGCTTGCGAGGGGGCAGTTCACCAGGCACAGCTGCTCTCGGGCCTCGGCACATGAGAAATCCAGCCTTTCCTTTACTTGAAGGGATCATCCTGGGACAAGTGCTTCCCAAAGCTCCATCCTTGGGGATATCACAAACTCAGCTGGACACAAAAAGCCCACCAAGCTTCGAAGTTGGCCCTAACAGGCTGGCCCTGCTTTGAGCAGGGGCTTGACCACACACGTCTCTAACATCAGCTAGTCTTTGATCTCATTCCAGGAGGCCGAGACTCAGGGTTTGGACCTGGTCTACAAGTTCTAGAACGCCAGCAGACCCTGGCAGTACGCGACACCCCTCACAAAGCACCGCCATCAAGGGCTGCCGCTGGGATTAGCCCACTCCGGAGAGAAGTCTCCGCTCAGCAGAAGGATCCCCGGAAACGTATTTTCAGAGGACAAATCGCAACTGCCACCAGTCAGAACCAACAGCCATGAGAGGAGGCTGCTTCCCAGCAGACAAGGAGGAACAGCACTGAAATATCTGGGAATTTTAAGGGGACCTTGCTTGGGAACATGGGGCACTCCTGCCCCTGAGGCAGCATGAATCCAAGGGAGGTGCTGAAGTCCCCTCATGGCTCGGGGGACGCAGTGTCGCTCTTTGTATTCACATACCAGCTTTATCTCTTGCTTTATCTTCTCTATTAATAAAAACTATTTCTTTCCATGCAGGATTTCCACTGCCTGTTACTACCAGTCTCTGCTAGTGCCCTACTCACAGGGATAAAAAAGGAAGGCAAGGAGGAAAAAAGCCTTCACATTAACCACGTGGAGCTCGAGCCCCATGTAAAGCCGCGTGTATGGAAAGTGCTGAGTGTGCCCGTGGACATTGACCCGGTGATCACAAGAAATCGCTTCAACTGACTTGCGGGCCATATTTGCCTCTGACAGAAGCAGGAAAATGTGAATAATTAAGTGTCATTTCAAGTTTAGTTCCTAGGAACAAGAGGAACATGAGGGCCCCTTGCAGCTACCAAAGCAGAAAGCTGTTTGAGCTGCCGTTTGCAGGGCTTGGATCTAGAAATGAACCGGGCCACACGGTTCTGCCCTGTGTTTCAAGGTTGCTGTTACCAGCGGGATGAGGCTGAGCAGCTTTCTCTGCTGTCACCCTTTCCGCTGGGATCAGCTGCAACAGGAGGAATCGGAGTTAGAGGCTCTTTTCCTGATGACCGGGGCATTCCCTGCTCCTCAGATGGGTGCCGCCTGTGGATCCACGCTGCACCCCGCGCCGGGGTGCTCGTGCACAGCCCCAAGTCAATCCGGGCTCCTCAAACCTTGGTTTTTCCGCCAGCAAGAGGGAGAGCCGCGACTGGCGCGAGCACCCTGGGCAGCAGCACCAGCGGCCCCAGAGGCCCCCGCCACCGTCACGAGGGGAACAGGAAGCACCAGGGAGCCCAGAAGTGAGCTGAAAGGGTTGAAGGGAATTTTTTGGGGAAAAAAAAAAAAAAAAAACCACACACAAATTAACCCAGCAACTCTCCGCAGGACCCCATGATTTCAGCTTTCTGGCAGGGCATGCGAGCGGAGTGCTAGGGCGCAAGGCGGACCCGGCTGG